AAAAAAAAAAAAAAAAAAGTGGGCATGCATCTCAAACTTAAAGGCTTGGGGAAAGGTGGAATTGAAGACATAAGAGTAAAATTTTCAAGGACTTCCAGGAGTTAGCCAGGCCGAAACAAAAGTACTGGAGAAGGAGCAGTGGCTCAAAGCACTGGGCAGCTGATTAATAATCAGACCATCAATGGTCCTCATGTGCTATGTAAAAATACATATATTTTATTGAGTTATCTGGAAGAAAGCCACTGAAGGACTTTAAGCAAAGAAATAGCATGATCAGATTTTAGTTATAGAAAAATTACTGTCAGCAGTAAGCAGTGATTGAGCTGGCTGCATGACTGAAGACAGGAGATCAGTTAGGAAGCAACTGGGAAAGTCCAGGTGAAGGAGGAAGCGAGTTGAAGAAAGGTATGAGAGATAAGCAACATTTGGTCATTGAAAAGGGTTTAAGTGCAAGAGAAGAGTCAAGAATTAAATACTAGGGGATAGCAGTACAGTTAGAAATATATTAAGGTAGTAGGAAGCAAGAAGAAACCTTTAATTTGGGCACTCCATGTCCTTCATTTGGGTGACATGTAAAATCTAGGCAGAGATAGGCAACTATATCTAGAAAAAGGGAATCCTCAGTATATATACAGATAATATAGCTAAACAATGAGAAGGAATAAGATCCACTAACATCTACACATTGGTAAATGATCTAGAAGCTAACCTCTGGCAATAAAGAGTATTAAAGGGACATGATTTAAAAGCAAAGCCAAGGGTGGTTGGTAGTGGTGGTATGCCGTCGAGTTGGTTCCAACTTACAACGACCCTTGTATAGGGTTTCCGAGACTACTCCCTTAAGTTTTATGGAAGTAGAAACCCTCATCTTTCTCCCGCAGAGCAGCTGCTGGATTAGAACTGCTGACCGTGTGGTTAGCAGTCCACCAAGCCAGCAGGACTTCGGGAGTCAAGGGAGAGTAATGTAAACCAAAGGTGAGGAAAGTATGGGATATGGAAAGGTCAATAGAGTCAAATGCATGAGAGAAGCTAAGATGTGTACAAATTTAAGTGTACTCAAAATATAAAACTGATTAGCTGATCACATAGGTAATTCTACCTATAAGCTGGACAACTTATTTTGTTGATCAATATATAGTACCTATAAAATCAAAAGTGGAAATTCATTGCTATCAAGTTGATTCTAACTCATGTTGTTGTTAATCGTTAAGTTCTGCCAAGTCAGTTCTGCCTCACAGTGACTCTGTAAAGGGTTTCCAAAGAGCGGTTGGTGGGTTTGAACCACCTTTCTTGTGGTTAGCAGCCCAGGGCATAGCTTACAGTGCCACACCAGGACGATGACCCCACATTTTAGAGTAAAATTGCTCCATAGGGTTTTCACAGCCGTAACCTTTTGGAAGCAGATTGCCAGGCTTTCTTCCGACCTACCTTTTGGTATGCAGAACCACTAACCTTTTGGTGGTGGTTGTTGGTTTCAATCTCTCCCTATACAACGATATTCCCTCAACCTGTATCATGAAGTCTCCCACATCCTTATTCAATATGCCTGTACAAGTACACATCTACTCTCTGGTCTTATTTCTCACAGATCGCCCTTCTGTTTCCTCTTAATGGCAAATTTTTTGAAATAATAGTTTCACCTTTATGTCTTCACATCCTCACTTTCTACTGTTACTCTTTGACTCACTGCAATCAGCCTTTTCAACACTCATATGAAAGCCTGACTTCATTAAGAATGCCAAAGTCAACAGCTTCTTTTCAGTCTGCACACTACTGAATCTCTTTTACTAGATTTCATCTTCTATCCCTCTTTCCTCTGTTCCAGGTACACTAACCTGCTTTAAGTATCACCCTGAATTTAGTATTATCCTCTATTCCTTAGCATCTACATAATGAAAATACCTTTCACCCTCTTCTTAAGTTCTACTTAGCTCATGAGCAAACTACAATAAGACTTGCTGGCACTGGGTTAATGTGCTAGACTGCATGATTGGTTTGAACTGCAAGGTCGTTCGGCTGTTCAAGCTCACCAGTCGCTCCTTGGAAACCCTATAAAGGGTGGCTATGAGGGTCACCAACTCCATGGCACTTAACAACAACATTTCAATGATGTCTTCTCCTGTGTACCCTTGGTAAGAATTTGCTCTCATAAAGCACCCACCACCTTGTATTATGTGGGGGCAGTGGTGGTTCAGTGGAAGAAATTTTCGACTTCCATATAGGAGACTTGGTTACACTCTAGGCAAATGTACTTCATGGGTGGCCACTACCTATCTGGCCATGGAGGTTGCATGTTGTTATGATGTTGAACAAATTTCAGGGAAACCTCCAGGGTAAGATGAATTAGGAAAAAAGATTTAGTGCTATGCACCCCAAAAATCAGTGAAAACCCTATGGTGTCACAGCAGTCCCATGTATAACTCAGAAGCCGACTTTATAGCAATTACTACCTAACACTGTAGTTATGTTCAGGTGTATTTCCTCTCTTCACCAGTGAGGTTCTCAAAAAGTACATCGTTATCAAGGTACCAAGCACTTAGTCCAATGCTGTGCACTTATCTACTCAATGTTCAATGTATGTTGACTTTCTGAATCCATGGTTATAAAATTTAGAGAATCAGATGTTCTAGTTCTATAAAGATTTTGTAGAAAATACTGTTTCAGATCAAAGTGGTTCGCCAGGGAAATATTTAAGCATTTAATTTGATTCATAGTTAAGCAAACATGGTTCTAGTTCTGCTTGTTCCAGGTTTAAAGTAACATTTGGTTCATATCTCTTGTAAGAGGCAAAGTCCCATGGAGAAAGGCAGAGAAGTGGTGAAATGTTGGTGAAAAGGAGAAAGGCAACAATGGTGGATTGTGGGAGAAAAGGAAATGATTAGTGTTTTGATCATTCTGGTTTCAGCCACTGTTTTAAATTCAAAGCCAAAAGTCTCTTCACCTTAAATTTAAAGTGAAAAAAGGATCCACCTTGGGTGTCAACCAAGAAAATTTAATTACAAAGAAGTCCGGGTGGTGCTGTAGGATAAGCAACTGCCAACCACAAGGTCGGCAGTTCAAACCCACCAGCTGCTCTGAGGGAGAAAGATGAGTTTGGCCAACCTCATTACTGTTGCCACGCTTGAGTCCATCGATGCCCAATCCATCTTGCTGGGGGTCTTCCTCTTCTTTGACCCTCCAACTTAGCCTCATCGTTCTCCCATGGAGCAACTGGTAATTTGGAACTGCTAACCAAGAGATTAGCAGCCCGATTTGTAACCACTACGCTACCAGAGCATTGGAAACCCTATACAGTGTCACTATGAGTCAGATTGACTAGATAACAGTGGGTTGTTTTATATTTTTAAACAATACTAATGCACAAGCCTCTAGAAGGCCAAGATCAATCAGTCAAGATCAATCAGTCTTCCACAATCCCTTTGACAAAGCCCAGGTTCATTTGTTAAGTATTTTCTCCACACTTAGAGGCCTATTCTGATCTAGCTTTCCTCTCCAAGTTCAGTACTACTCGTGTGATACCCAAGGCAACATAATTCTATTGTTAAACCTTAAAAGACAAAATACTGTGAAGATTAACAAGAGGACATTCAACTAAGATTCATTCGCACCTGGAATAATTAACATTCTGATGATTAAATCGATGTACTGCTTAGGAAAAACTTGGGAAACTCTCATAACATTCTTTGACAGGAGCCCAAACTGCCAAATACACAAAATTAAAAATGCCTAATACAACGCGGCTATTAAGATATTTCCCACATTAATTCACCCAATTAGGAAAATAAAGGACTACAAGCCCAACCCCCATCCCCATGTGCAAACGCGAATGGTGATCTAAGTGCTGCTCAGCTCCGCAGAAATTACCGAAGCCAAGGGACAGAGATGTCCAAAATCATTTGGCTGGCCCAACTAGCACAGCTAACTTTTCCTGCTAAGCGGCTAGGACACCGAGTCCCTACGTGAGCTGTATCAGTCAAGGCTCCCGGATACCACCCCCGTCATCTCAGTGACCCTCAGACCAACTAAGCATTTCGGGAGCCAAACCCACCCCCACCCCCACCCCCGAGTGGAGCAGGCTGGAAGAATACCATCCCTGCCCGAACCCCGCTCCTAAAATGCGCGGCGAGCGGACGTACGGCCTGGGGGCTTACCCGCCAGTCGGTAGGACGCCGGGTCTCCCGGCCCAGGGCACGGTGGCTTCGGCCCTCGCGGCACTAGGCCCCGGCCCCCAACTCGCGCGAGCAGTGCACGCGGGGGCGCCCGACCGGGAACGCGGCGGCGGTGACAGAAACGGGGCGGTGTCGCAGAAGACCCAGTCGTCCCCGTCCCTCCTTCGCGGCACCGGTGTGACCAGGCCCCCTCCGAATCCCCACACCCGGTCCTCGCCGTGGCAACGCGCCCCCGCGCCGTCTTTCGGCTGGTCGCGAAGCGGGAGCGAGCCCGGCCCTCGCGCCTAAGTCAGACGCGGGGCCCCCGCGCCGGCGCACCGCCCTGCCCTGCCCGCGCAG